AGGAAAGTGATTGTTGACGATATTTTCCCCTGTCTGAGTGCATTAAAGTGTCCAGTTGAACGCGTTTTGCCTTCACTTTGCCGCGGCTTCGTTATTTGCAGCCAGCTTCCTTTGCACTGTGGTTTGTTGCCGTCCTCAGTGAAGCATAGCTCTAGGAGTTCAAGGGACCCACTTCCAGTCCCCCCACTTCAGATATCTGCATCGTTCTGCTCTGCGTTCACTCCCATTTCAAGTTTAGGCACGCCCTGTTAACTCAAAGAGTACTTCAGAGTTCGATCCTTTTATGTAGGAACGTAGTTGCTGCAAATAATCCCCTACATCGGCCGCTAATAAGCCATTTTAACCGCCACAAAGCCCATCTGCTGCCTTCTACTAACTCCAGCCAGAATGGGCCGAAATGCGAAGTGCGTTCTACCCCAAAACAGCCAATGTTGCCCTCAGCTGATGCGCCAATGTGGTATGGAGCCCACCACTGAAAGCGCCACGGCAAGAACCCCCAACTCTCAACTGATGCATCGCTGTGATCTCGTTCCCAGCAATGGGAATGACCCCACACCAAGAAAACTCAACGGCACTACAACATTGGCTTCAACTTGTAGGGCTTTCCAAGCTTCATTTCGTCCGTCCGCAATGGCCCTTCTTTTCTGCCACCCCTCGCTAAAACTGGGCATATCGTAGCATCTCATTTTAAGATAACTACCGTTCACAGGACTCCCCAGTACTGGACGCATATATTCAGTGTTGTGCTTGTAGCCATTTGATATAGTATACAGATGCTAATGTCGATAGATTTATCGTGAGAAAACTCGAAGTCAAGCAATCGGTGTAAGGCTGCAGCTCTGTGCAGTGCTAGTGCACCCACGTTGCTGGACATTGTATGACTATGTTGGTTGGTATTATAATATTTTTCCCCGTCAAACGATGCTTAGTTCGCTAGCTGAAAAACTACAAGTAGTGCAATTGCCGTACACACAAGTTCTTCGCTTAACACATGGCATAAGGCCTTACTTTTTTTCGGTCCCGTTGGCTAGATAGGACTTGTGCTGCCCCTACTTTGAGGAAAGATATGGCGTTAGCAGCGTACGCTGTTGGGATCTTACGTAAGGAAGTTTGAGGCAGTTAAGAGAAAGTTGCAGGAAGCCACCCGCAAAAGTCAGCAGGTGACCGTCCCGAGGGACTTCCTTTAACTGTCCCCAATAAACGGTAAATGGCAGATGTACAAGCGCTGTCGTTTGAGTTGATGACTCAAGGGGTTCTTTACAAGAAAAGAGCAGCCACTGCTGCGGCAGCAACGGCGAAGAAAGTCGGCACTGCTGCGCTGCCGGAATTGATGGCCTTGGTGATGCGATCCCACTGTTCTTGACTGAGGCGCACAAACAATTTCAAGCAACTCACCTTGCTGGAGAAGAATCAAAAGAGAAGGTAAGGGTTTTCAATACTCTAAGGGGCAACGACAGTCGCAAGTTTAAGGGGTCAACATACCTGTAAGGAGCCTCTTTCTCTGTCAAAGCTTTGGGGGTTGTGACACACAGAAGCGCCTTCAATTCCTTGTCTGCTGTGCTTCCCCCGCTCCCCGTTTTTGC